ACGATAGAGAGCCGTAAAATCAAATTATCTCGTCGCGTATGATTTATGTCGATAAGTTTATTGCGCTTTGAAGCCTTAAAATTTGTATGAATGTTTAATTATTCAGAAACACAAAAACTCTCGCCCATTCATGGGGAAATATACAGTGACTCAAACAAGTGATTTTCATGTAAATTTTTTTTTTTACAATTTTGCTATACAATTTTATTTAACGCTTTAGCCGAAAGCATATGAATCAAAGTTTCAAACTTTACAAAAAATTTAGGGATATTTAACAAATTTTAATAAAAATTTAAAATTTGCATCTTTCGAACATTTTTGGGTTTGCAGCAATTGAGCTGCAAGTTTCTACCAGGTAAAAAATCACGTATTCACGGTCACGCAAGACCGCTGGCAACAAAATCACAAANCAAGACCGCTGGCAACAAAATCACAAAAAAAACCAACGGCAGTTTTCATAAATTGCATAGGTATATGAAAAAAAAACGAAAAAGCCGTCACAAAAAAAATATATATTTAATACAATGATTTTCAGCCTGTTAAAACTTGTTGCTTAATTGAATGGGTCATAAAACTGCTAACAAAAATGTTCTAAAAAGTCAGTTTATAAAGTTTGTAATTTTAAATGTTGAGTTTTCCTAAATTTTTTATAAAGCTTGAAACTTTGATTTACATGGTTGTGCTTACAGTTGGACAATATTTTTATAGAAAATAACAACAAAAAATTTAACTTTTAAAACATTATGAATATTAAAAAAAACAGCACGTGATAAGTTGTCTGAGTCACTGTACGCATTTTTTTTGCGTTGTGAGCCGTAAAAACTTGTACAAATTTGAATAAAAAAAAAAATGTTTCCCAAAAGAAATTTGAATTACAAATCCGCAGCCTTGAACTTGCTGGTATGTATTGTAATTTTATGCAATTCAAATTTTTTATTGTACTTGAGCGTATTATGTGTTTAAATTTTTGTTTTGTGCCGACTATTAATTTAAATAATGATTTTTTTTAATTTGTTTTTACTTTATAACTTTTTCGTTTTAGGCAATTCGTCAGCTTTTGCCAATAAATATGGCATTGTCTCATCTTTAAGTATGACGCCGAAGAAAATAAAATGACGCTCATATACGAGCACATACACATACATACATACATACATGTATGTATGAACGCAATTGCGTATTGTAAAAGCGTAAGCCGATTTTACTATGGTCATGAAAACGTGCTTTGAAAACTTGAAATTTGGTAAAGGTCTTTTAACTGCGTATGTTTGCAAAGAAAGGAAATTGTGGAGACATATCGAGCCCCAATCGCCAAAATAACGTAAGCGATATTTTTTTCCAAAATTTTATTTTTGAAACAAAAATATTCCGAGAGCATCTAGGTGCATTTCTGCATCAAAAAAAATTTGTTTGAAAAAAATGTCGCTTACTTTATAATGGCGGTTAGGGCTCGGTATGTTTGTAAGGATTTTGAGTTCATATGTATGTATGTATGTATAACGGCATATGGATTGATAAAGACAGGGCCTCATTATCCATAAGAAGTAGACGAATTGTCAGTTACCAATCACTGAATCCAAGAATTCAATTAATTAAGAAATATATATGGAATTTGATTGGATACAAATAATACAACCTGACTTTTGTGTTTAACTTTTAATGATTTTTTCTTTTTTTTTGGATAAATCAAAACAAGCCATAACCCACCTGCACACATACATACATAGACTAAGCAAGAAGCCTTACATTTTATTTTTAATTTTCGCCTTCAAGTGTTCATTCGCTTCAAGTGAAATAATCGTTTGTTTGCATAACTAAGTATGCATTTGTCAATAAACTTGACCTCTACAACAACAAGTGCTTTTGATTACAACTATATTTATGTATATACGAGTACCTTCATATTTATAGAGATAAAATCATTGACGATAAAATAAGTGAATGAACGTCTATTTAATGTTAAGGTAAGTACATGTGTAATAATCGTTGTATATGCACTAATAAATATGTATATACTAAACTTGCTTGTAACACATTTTTATCTGTCTATAAATCACGCAAGCGATTTGTTAAAACCCATAAAAACATAAAAAGTAATTAATTTTAAGTAAACGATGAGACAGTACAAAGTGTAATTGAAGCGTAGCGGCTGTGTTAGGTGTACTTGAAATTGCTGCGAAAAGGCCAGTTTTTTAAATTTGTATTAGGGTGCATCACTATCCATAGAAAAAAAATTGGTAGTGTTTTTCTATCGGCATTGTGAAACTTACTACATACATTTTAAGGCTTACGCCAAAATATTTGGAAAACATATTAAGATTTAAGTTAGCTGGGCCGTTTTGAAAATACCTAGAAAAGAGGTTTTCCAAAAAATATATTTTTTTATTCAGACGATAAAGGTATGCATAAAAATCTTTAACAAATTTTATCAACGGAATCAAAATAAATGAGCTTTTTGGAGACTTATATTTTCAAATCGATCCAGCTCACGTAATTATTGATATTTTTCCGAAATATTTTTTTGAAAGTCTTAAAATATAAAACATTTTTTTTCAACAGTATTATTGAGCTGGTACCACAATTTGTTTGATAGGGGAAAATGGAAAAAGCAGCAAAGTCTAAGCAGCAGAATATATTTTATATAATTTTTTTTGGCGATGCACCCTAATGTTATATGTTAAATATGTATATCTAGCTTTAGTATAGATCAGCAGCGCGTCGCTGTAGTAGCGAATAGCCTACTGCCAATTCGCTTTACACTTTGCGTTCGTTTTGTTTTGTTTTTTTTTCGATTTGTTAACACGCTAATACAAAATTAATTGTTTGGAAAATGGAAATCCTATTCTAAAAAAAAGTACGTTAGGCCGATTACGGTGATGACATTAAGCACTTAAACTTAGTGATTTCATAGGCCCGCAGCAAGGTAAATAAATATCTGAATGCATGTCATATATCTTCATATTTATGAGATTTCAGTAGGCTTAGCGCGCCCTGGGCGGAAACCAAGACTTGGAAAGGCCTATTAGCCGGTTGACGACGGCTTCTAAGCTCTCGAACATCTGACAGGTTTTAAATACTGTAATAATTAACCCTAAAAAAACAAAAATAAAACGCTTTTAGATCAGCTAATTTCCCAATCTTTGTGGTCCATCTCAACTAAGGGTAGGTCCAGGACCGAGTCGCGCAAAAGTACTAATTGTGCGCCGATTTGGCTGTAATTTTTTATCCTTAGCGTTTTTGCTTAGGAATAAAAAAAAACTGAGAAATCGCACATATTGGAAAACTGCCACGCCCACTACTCTAGGGGTCGGAAACAGTAAATGTTAGCCGATTCTAATTAAATTGGGTTTGTTGCTTAGTTTTAATCAGAAAAATGTAAATCTAAAAGATAATAAAAATCAGTCCACTGCCACGCGCACCAGCTATGTTAAACACACATTTTTCTTAGAACCGGATAAATCCGTGTTCTAATGTATCATGTATCCTTTCTAGACAAAAGTACTATATATAAATTTCCAGTAATTTTGGATCTCGATTACTACTTTCTGGTGCAGCTTGTGCGAGAGTCTGTCGTTGTGAAGCGTTCAGGAGGGACGTAGGCGAACGTAGTTACAATTTGATTCGTTAATAGTTAAGAGTTATTTTTGCACCAATCATCTTTCACCGTTACACTCACCAGAAACGTATTGAAAAGTGCATGAAATCATATAAATGCACGCATCTCTGAAAGGACTAGGAAACATGATGAAAACATGTTATGGAAAAAACCTTGAGTTTGGCATTAAAGGCAAATACAAATCCCATAACAACCGATCATTCAACTACCACTGTTGATATGTGCCTTGAAGTGTTCACTCGAATTTTTGCGTAGAAATTCGATTCACACAACACCGATTTTCTGCGCCTATAGAATACCACTAGAGCCATTTTACTCACTGTGGGTCATACCAAAAAAAAATAAATGTTTTTAGAGCGGGTTTGAGGTGGCTAGAGCCACGCGGGACCGTAACTGGACAGTAATTGTACCAGAGGCAACTAAAACTCTTAGATAGAACAGCAATGATGGCATTCACGAGGCGAGCGTTGGCGAAGGTGGGGATGTTCTCTCAGTATCGTTGGTTGCCTATCGGTATAGCGTGGGCCAGTGTTGTGGTATGCGTGTAGCTTCGTGCACTGCATTCTTCTAGGTCGCGCTGACTGTACTGGCGCTGTGTAGCTTGGAATTGTACCTGTATATGCATGTGTATGAATATTAGGGTGGCAAAAAAAAAAAATAAATTAAAGCCCGAAATCTAATGCTCTCACCCCTAGGATTATTTTATATCGAAAAAATATAGCGCTGTTTTTTTTTATTTTCGTCCAAAAAATTTTTTAATTCAATTTTAATATTTAATTATTATTATTTTAATTATTATTATCAATAATTATTGATTATCTCCTGCAGAGAAACAAAGTTTTCTGATTCTGACTTTCAAGAATTTTGTACGAAAAAAGTTTGTTTTTTCCCTTTGACCTCTAAATATATTTTGATTTCGAAACAAAAAATGTAGAGGTATATTGTTTTCGATATAGAACAATCCTAGGGGGTGAGAGCATTAAATATCGGACTCTACTCTTTTTTTTTACAAGCATTTTTGGACCACCTTAATGCACATAGTATTAAGGTTTTTAGTTAACTAGTAAGACTGATTGACTCAGCTTTTAACGACAGCAATAAAAAATTTATAAAAATAAATTGTAAGGGATGCAAATTCTAAACGCGTTCACTGTAGCAACAAAAACAGCTGCTGGAGCGGAAAACCCCGCATATACATACGTATATGTATGAACGTATGTTTAAATAAGTATGCCTACATATATGTCTCCAAATCTAAATAAAATAATTTGCACAAAAGCGCAAGTAGTTAGGTATCTATGTACATATGTATGTATGTATGTACTTGCATTTACATAACTATATTGCTTAATTGAAAAATTATTGCATTCGCTTGCATATTTACCATATTTATCATCCACAGCTGCATATGGTGGCGTAGCGTCGCTGGCAGTGGTCGCCGTCTCTCCATCGCCCTCGCCCAAGTCGAAGCCACTAATGCTGCCGCCGCTGAACAGTTCGCCGCCGCCCATGCCGCTGGCGGGTGCAATATTGGCGAACGAAAGCGTAGTTGGCGGCACAAGCGGCTGATCTTGCTGCTCTACAGAAGCGGGTGAGGTTGGCACAACGGCGTGAAGTTGATAATCAATGTCAGTCTCATCGGTTGCACCAACACCAGCAACAGCGGTGGGAACATCATTGCTATCCATGCTCACGCCATTCACTGCATAAGCATTCAAATCCAATGCATAGCTTGCGGGCGTGATGATGCGGCCGCCACTGTCGCTGCCACTGCTGCTGCTGCTGATGCTGCTGAACGAGTCATTGTCGCGCTCGCTAGCAACTGTTGCACTGTACTTCGACGTTGGCGTTGGTATTGGTGTTGAGGCGGTCGATGCGATGGTAAACGGTGAAGGTGATGAGAGTTCTGGGTCGATGGCAATGCCTGCAGCGACGCTGCGATGCTCGCTAATGATGGCGGCGAAGAGCAGTAGATTGAGTAGTAAGCGCAGGCGCGCAGCAGAGCGTGGGCGTGGCATTTTGTGTTGTTCAGCTGTTAGTTTGCGTTGGATGTTTAGTTTTTTTTTTTTGGCGCTTAGGTATTAAGCTGACTTTGTGGGCGGGAATGCGGGGATTTGTGCGTTCGTTGCTTTTTATTGTCGCTGTTTTGTGATTTGTGCTTAGCTGTGCCGCGCGATGATTTGTGCGCTTTAATGCACACACCACTGCTCGTTGTAAGCGCTTGCCAGAATAGTTTCAATAGCGTATCATTTTGCGCTTGAAATGCATTTGAGGTTTAATTTCTTAGAATTTTCTAACTATTTAATTCACTGCGTGTCGCTTATGTAATTACAGTTTGCTTACTTACGGTTTTACTTGTACATATGTATGTATAAAAATTGCAACTGCAACAAGGGTAAACACAAATTAAAATCATGCACATCAGCGAATTGAGGCGAATGAGAAAATAAATAAATAAATAAAAATTCAAAACGCCAACCGGAAGCGTTTATTATTTCACAGCGTACCGAAACATAACAAAACATAGGCAAGAAAAAAGCAACGCGTATCTACGACACTTTGTCACTCCGCTGAAGGCAATGAATGCTGTTCGTTCGCGTGCCCGGCGACACGGCGCGTCACTGACTGAAGCGCAACAACCGCAAAAGCGTTCACGTAAATCGCGACGATTACTTTGACTTGTGTTCTGGTGGATGGAAGCTCTGGCGGTTTGCGGTGTCAGCGGTTTACCAAAGTCAGCGTCGCAACGTGCCGCCGCTACGCGTTGACTGACTGCCTGACGCGCTGAGCGGCTGCCTGGCTGACGATCGGCGATTTGCGCCGCGGTGTCGGCTGCGCGCGTGACTCACTTGGTTACGTGCCCTTTTACGCGGTTATGCTAAAGTGCCGCAGTTGCTTTGATAAGTAATTTCTGCTTTTTATTATTATAATGTTTATATTTTTATAATATTCTCTTACATTAATGTCTTTTATGTTGCTTTTGATGCCGTCTTCCTTTGCATTGGTTAATTTTATTTTACTTGCCTCTTTTACTTTATTAATATTACTTTATTTTCGCTTACTTTGTTGGGTTCAAATAAGTTCAACGGAACTGGCAATCGCATTTATTTGCAAATGGGGTCTCACATACGATTTGAATGCATTTCAGAAGGNTTTTTACAAAAATTATATAAATTAAATTTTCAAACTTTTTAGAAAAAAAATAAAAATAAAAAAAATAAAAATTATAATTTTGAAAGTTAAGAAAAAAAATGAGTATGCAGTTTCCTAGCTCCTTCCATAAAATGCAAGTTTCAAGCCGCTATAAATTACTGTTGATTTTTGAGATGTTTTTTTCTCAATGGAAGTTCGTGCGATATACGGATGAAAATACCCAAAACTTTTGAAAACGAATACCAAAAAATCAACGGTAATTTATAGCCACAATATTTGTGACCCCCAAAACTGCATACTCAATTATTTTTTCTAAAAATTCGGCATACAAATTTTTAAATTTAGACGATTTTTTAAAGTTTTGTAAAAAGTTTGTAAATTTAATTAATTTAGTGTCCATTACAATATTTTCTTGAAAATTTTTATGAAAAACGTTGCGAATATTTCATAAATAAATCACGGAACGAATTACTATTTTGACTACTGTATGCATGTGTGTATGTATATCGATAAGCAGGCATATCCGAATACGAATTTATGAAAAAGCCTCGTGTTCACGCACAAAAATAACATACAAAAAAAAAATTATAAAAATACAAAAAAGTTAAAGCCGGCTTGCGCACACGCCAGGGCACATATGCGCGGCAGATGTTTGCTCGTCATATGCCACATACATATGTGTGTATATGCCGGCACTTATTCTCTGCCACATTTTTTGGTCTTTTGTCTTTGGATTTCTGGTTTACATTTAATGCTATGTGAAGTAGCTAGAAAGCATATTTTTTTATTAATATATTTGGAGTAGCCAAGATAACTTTGGAACTCCTCCTACGCTTATGTCCGATGTTGCCTACCTGATTTCACGTGTGACCTAAACTAACCATAGAGTTAGGTCGTGTCGGGTAAAAAACCTTCTATTGGTAACAGGCCAGATAAAAAGAGGCCAGCCTAAATTTCCTTCGTAGAAGCTTCAGACTGACCATCGTTAGGCTTTCTCCGCTACATTTCGGGCAGATAAATGGGTTTTAGTTTTAACTAGAGTTCAGATATGGCAGTGTCCCTTACCGTGGGAAGTTCAGAGCGCCTATTTGGAGCACTCAAGCCACAGATCTTGTTGGGAGAAAGTCTTGGATTAGAGCGAAGTCTACTTCGTCCGAGAACAGACGATGAAGGAACGAAGCAGATGCTGCATTACTGTTTTGATTGTTGATTTTCATGTCCCTTTTAATATGTTTTAAATCTGTACGATTTGCGAATAAACTTAAGCAGAGTGTTGGGTGTTAAAGAGCTCAGGTGTTCGTCTCTCAACACATTTCGGCCAATTGTCTCATACATAATTCTCGCAAAGGCGGGGCTGCAGCACAAAAAGTGCTCCACCGTCTCATCTTCTTCCAGGCAGAATGGGCAAACGGAGTGAGTTGTCATGTACGCCTATCACAGTCAGGTGTTTGTGCTACGTGAAGTGACCATCCAACAAGTTGTCTGCAGTCCCGTCTGCTCAGTGAGAGCAACCAACTAGATAGACCTTCTGAGGTTGAAGGCAACATAATGAATACTCGTTTAAGTCGATATTGAATTTGCCCTCGATGCCCGTCTTATGATCGCTAAGTAGTTCTTTGCTTTAAAAATAAGCTGCGAAGTTAACTAAAGTTGGGGTGTCCGGTTTGTAGACTTTGAGGGTTATTTTCCCGAAAATTTAGTTGAGCTTATCGCCTCTCTTTGCTAAAGTCACACCCAGTTGAGTTTACATATATTTGGTTTCAGCTTTTGGAGCGTCTTAAAGATCTCTGCTGAGTCCGGTAGTGTATTCGGTCCCAACCTTTAGCCCTACATTTCGGGCTTTAAAGTAAGCAAGGGGTAAAGTTCACTTACTATGTCGATCTCAATTTTTCACAGATCCATGGACTAGCTTCACGTTCCCCTGGAAGCGGCCTGCGTTGCTGTTTGGGATGGGTAGACTTAAGTTACCTGGCTTCGCTATAGCGCTTCATTTGCCAATGCGGCTTCTGATGATCCTGATAT